TGCTTAAATGAAGATGAGTAAAAGATGAGTAAATGAAGATGAGTAAAGATGAATAAAAGTTTTGTGAAAATGACTACTGAGTCCGGTGCCATCTCTGGATGCTCGAGGAATAAAAAGAACCGGGGTAAAACTGATTTCTCAACAACATTTATTAACATTATTAATTAATTACGTTAAATCACTGCTTTTCTGTTTCATCATGTATGTCAGGCGTGCATTGAACGCAACAAGCAATTGGCCCCACTCACGCACCACCCAAGAAAGAACACAAACAGTAGTATCTTGTGCTAAGCAGCCATTTATTTGCTTCAGTAGTGAGCAATGCCAAAAATAACAAACAAAACTCCCTAATGGTCCCTATGCTTTCATACACAAATGAAAACCAACCAAAAGACAATTCACTAACCTAACTTTCTAACAAAAAACAGGAGAATACTTAATCATCAAAAATGGCTTCTCACGCCTACTAGGCTGCTGCAGTGAACAATATATACACAAGGTAAAAAAAAATACACAATTGCTACTTTACCAATCTATTTACAAGATTAAGGTTCTATTGCCAGACACACACACACAAAAACATTGTACTTGGTTATACTTGCAAATCAATGGGCAAAGACACTCTACGAAACAACGAATCAAAAACACATGCTCTTTGTTGGATGGTGGAGGCTAGGAGAGAGGGGGGCTAGGTGGCTGTCATCTGGTGGTTAAATACTTGAGGTGATCAGCCAATTATCCAATCCGAGGACAGGAAAAGACCACCCAACTACTCAGCAGGCACACCCAGGTGTCCACCCCCTAAGAAAGAAAAGGGGAAAAAACCCACAGCCATCCTCTGGTGGGAGGAATCACGCATAAAACAAACACTGACAACACTGGATCATAACACATAGATGAATGTACTGCATGAAATATACAAATTAAGAAGTGAAGTAAACTTTAATTTAAATACACCCTCAATAAAAAAAAAAGTTCAGAGTACTGAATTTTTCCATTGCAGAAAAGTAATTGATCAATTTAAAATCTCTGTCATGGTCCTGGGTCAAGCGACCCAGTGTTTGAGTTTATGTATCTTTTGTATTTATTTTGTGCCTTAGCTTAGTGCACCTAGTTAATTTCTAGATT